TTATTTATCACATTAAACATTCACTTCTGTAGAAGAGAGAGAGAGAGAGAGAGAGAGAGATCGAGATCTTAGAAAACATTCAAACAAATCCAAAAATTTATTTCTTGAATAAATCCCCTCTGCTACAAATGCTAATCATTTTTGTACTTTTGAATCATATCTCAGTAATTAATTCTATTTCAATAAAAGGACAGAAATTAGGATCATTACACAGAAATTTTGTGCAGTCTCTACCCTTACAAACTTGAACTGATCACTTTATAACATCAAAGCACAGTCACTTCTTCACTGCTTGAACTCAAAGTTACACTTGCAGTATCAGATTGTGAAGCTCCATTATATTCTTCTGGTGGTATTGACTGAGCAACGAACGGATGAGATAAGAGCTCTTCAGCAGTTAACCTTTTACAGGGATTGAAGGCTAGGCAGATCTTTATAAAATCCCTCCCCTCCTTTGAGATTTTAGCTGGAATCTTGGGAGAGTCAAAAACCAGCATGTTCAGGAAATCCTGAGGCTTCCAACAATAACTCGTATCCCATGGGGGCTTCCCAGTGAGCATCTCAAGCACAACGCAACCAACAGACCAAATTTCAGAGGGCTGATCCTGCAACTTGTCAAGCAAAGCTTCTGGAGACAGATACATAGGAGAGCCTTTACATCCAGATCCACCCATCTTTTCTTTTGTTCTCTTAGCCAATCCGAAATCAGCTATCTTTGCCACCAAACTAGTACTTCCACAACTTGTGGTGGTAGGCACAAGCAGAATGTTCTCCGGGGTCAAATTGTGTGATGGGTTTCGTGGAAGTGGCAAGATGAACAGACCCATATCTTCCTCTTCCGATCAGCTCTCCTCTTACCCAGTTCACTTCATGATTACGCCTGCAATAACAGTGAGATGAAAGGAAGGTGAATTTGGGGTTTTATAAGGGGATAAAGTCGGTGGGGTTTCCTTGATCCGAGACTTGGACGCCAAGCTACTAAATAACAGTTGGAAAACTACAACTAATGCTAGTTCAAAACGCGTTTGAATTTAGAAACTTTTTATTTTTAACCCACAAGGATTAGGACTCTGATATTACGGTGCTAATTACAGGCTGGCAAGAAAATTAGAGTTGGGAATATCAATATGAACTTTTATTTTAAAAAATTATGTTTTGCTCAAAGTAATTACATAAAACCTAGATACCAATTACACTATCAAAACCAATTTGCAAATTGGAATGAAATATTGTGAATTTGACAATGCTTTTCTTCAATGGATTCGGATCCTCTGATCTGATTTTCTC